TAAAAAAATATTTCAATAATGGCACAGCACTGTGGTATAACACTAGGGGCGGGAGCACATGGGTTGCCCAGGATTGGACACGTCCACTTGGGGCAACAGGGCGTATCCCGGGACTTGCTAAGGGAAGTGACAACCGGCAGTTGAGTGCCTGTTTGAGGAGCATTACTAGCCCGTCGTTAAGAGACTCCTGCCAGGGGTTTGCTAGCCCTGTATTTGTCCGTGTAGAGGCCCAACAGCGAGTAGCTTAAGTTCTCTGCCAGCACTTGGCTGGAGAGTGATTATGGGCATTCACAAGAGGCACCTAGTGATACTGTCAGTAAGCTGGCCCACGGCAAGGGTAGACTCATTGGTGCTTCCCAGTACTGGTTGAGGACGGTACTGAGTGTTGAAGAAACACGGAAGTTGACAAAGGCTGTATCGCATTAGCATCAAGGAGTGCTTAGTGTCCTATGTGAGGGCGACACATGTAAATATCCACGTGTACTAATATTATCTCGTTTTATATTTTATATTTAAGGTGATGGGAAAGGGGTAATAAGTTAAGTGAATATATTGATAAAGAATGAAGTGTTGTGTTCATTTCAGCTTCCCCCTTTTTATTACTTGCATTACCTAGCCTACTCCTTGAAAGCCACTACCGACTTGGGGTCGGATACTAGTACTTTGGGTCATAGATCAAGAACCCGGTTGCGACCCATAGTGGCCGTAACACCCCTCCTTCACCATGCGCCTCGAGCCACAACCAGATGGGATTAATACAGTACGGTACGGTATGGTACGGCCCGCCCCATGGCTTTCATATCCGGACAATTCAATGATTATCCGGCTGACTGTCCGGACAGTGTAACATCGGCAGCAAGTTAACCGGCTCTGATTTTTTATCTGGCTAAACCAGCTTTTATCCGGCTCCCATGGCCATTTTGGCCGGATATTGAGATAACTTTATCCGGTCCCGATTTTGGTCGTATAAAAGCGTTTTCTGGATCTTCGAATCCCGGATAATCCAGTGATTACAATACTGTGAGCCCGACTGAAGGATGGAACCCACCGCCACTGGCGGCGTGGTGAGAACTTGTCACAAAGCCCCATCCTAGAAACAAAGCATCTGTGAACACATCAAGCGAGGGCTCAGGTAGGTGCCAAAGCAATGAACCCTGAAAAACCCGAAGAGGAAGCCGGCGATGCAGCAACCGACGCAAAGCCCCAGGGGGCCGAACCCAACAATTGTGAAAGCAGCATAAGGGACGTCCCAGAAGGAACCAGAACAGCCACCGAAACCACACCCGACCCGGTAGGTAAACAAGAATGGCAAAGTTCAAACTCCCGCACAGCTGCTCGAGCAACCGATGAGTGACCCGGGAGCCCTCCAGAAATAGGTGAAGGTGGGACTACAGCTGCAGCAACGACTTCCGAGGAAGAGACAAGGAAGCAGTCCGAGAGTCCCACACAAGACCCAACCAAGTCCAAACCCGGGACAGAAAGAGATGGGACTTCCTCCAGTTCACCAGGAACCAGAACTCGGCAAACTGGGAAAGAACCACACCCCTGGTGAGCAGACACACAGACCAGCTGGGAGCCAACACCAGCCAGTGTGGTCATCCAAAAAGAGGGGCTAAAGATCAGGTGGTTGTTGACCAAACCACACACTAGCAATTGAAGAGATGACGACGTTTCGGTTCGTCCTGGACCATTCTGGACCATTCCGTCCATCCTGGACCATTCTCATGGTCCAGGACGGAACGAAACGTCATTGTCTCTTCACTTTCTAGTGTGTGTGGTTTGGTCAACATATTTCAGCCACGTTATTGTGACTCCTCGTCTGCATCCAGTTTTTCAGGCGAGACAAGTTCAGAATGAACGTCAGATCTGCAGGCGAGAAACCCACCTGAGGGACGGGGTTGTTTCGACCACACCCAAGCAGGGGTGGGTGTCACTGACAGAGAGCAGGGGAAGAGGCCTACCCCACTAGCCCTGAACCCCCTGGAGAAAGAGGAGCCACCTAACGCCACCAGAGGCTGGAAGAAACGACCCGAAACACCCACGAATCGTGCGACCAGGCGTGAACAAACAGCGCGAGTCTCCCACCTACTGCCCCGGCAACGGGGCGACCCACGAAAGGGCCGACACCCCTTACGAGAATCCGACTGACGAGCAGAGCGACCACTGCGCGAACCAGACACCGTTGGCTCCGAAGAAAGTGCCGGCTCAGAAACTGGCACCACCGGTCCACCACGACTAGAGGAACCCCGAACACTGGCACGACTCTTCCGAGAAGGCCCACCAAGGCCCCCCAGAGAACCAACACGTCTGACATGGGACGACAACTAGATGAAGCTGCTTGCAGAAACTACATGACAGCAGACTCCTCAAACAGCCATGGACAAAAGGGTGACAAAAATCTAAGAGCCAGAGCCCAAGCAGATTCCAAGGAGAGATCAAGCACACCCTGTTGACACGCGGTGAGGGGAGAAGCAAAAAACAGAGACACCGCCTCCTTGAGAAACGGCACGAACATATTCAACAAGGCAGCCGACGTCCTAGCTGCCGAGGAAGGTGCACCAGACGAAGACCCGGCACCTAGCACCTACACATCCTCCTCAAGCCAGTCCGGGGACAGCTCGAGAAGGGAAAAGAAGGGAAAAGTTTCCTTAGCTATCAAAGCAGCAGAAAAGGAGGGTACCTGCACGTGAAGCTTCACAATGCCAACATCTCGAGGAAGCATAGGGGCGAACAAGCACACATTCAAGCTCTCAAACTCGCCCCCTTCACCCCCCAGATAAACTTGTACCACAATGGAAGTCTCCCGCCAAACAAGATTGCGGGTCTGACAAAACCCATACCACGCTCCCAACAAAAAGAAATGGCAGTCTGCTAACCAGGAAGACTCCGGTATCTTGTAATGCCAGTGAAAATCAGGAGCGCCATAGGCACAATCAGAGAACACTGTATAAACATCAGAGGTCCATGGTTGTTCAACATCCTCCCAGCGAGCATAAGAAATATTGCCGGAACAACCATGGACATCTTCAAGGGAAAACTAGATCATTTTTTCCAAGGAGTGCTGAACCAACTGGGCTGTGGTGGATATGTGGGCCTGCGGGTCGCTCCAAGCAACAGCCTAGTGGACCAAACTCTCACAAGTCAAGTCTGACCTTGGGCCGGGCTTGGGGAGTAGAAGAACTCCCAGAACCCCATCAAGCAGGTATCAAGCAGGCATCCAAAATGGGAAGGTCGAACCAAACTCAAAAGAAGACAGATTCATCACCAAGGCGTAATCCGGGTCTCGCAAGAGGTAAACAGCGATGGCCTCCTGAACCTCCCTAACACTCTTCAGCACGTGTGGGACACGAACAAGGGGACACAGGTGGAAACTTAGTACCCAGATGAGCCACAGAGACGTTAGAAAGAATTTTTTCAGTGTCAGAGTAGTTAATAAATGGAATGCACTAGGAAGTGATGTGGTGGAGGCTGACTCCATACACAGTTTCAAATGTAGATATGATAGAGCCCAGTAGGCTTGGGAATCTGTACACCAGTTGATTGACAGTTGAGAGGCGGGACTAAAGAGCCAAAGCTCAACCCCCGCAAGCACAATTAGGTGAGTAGGTGCGATTCAAGAAGCCAAAGAACCCAGAAATGAACCTGGGGTGGAGCCAAACCCAAATTATACTCATACAGGGAAGGAGGGTATAAAAACCCCTACACCTCTGCAACAAGGGTACCAACACCCAAGCGGGGTCAAATGGGGCCCAGGCCCCCCAAGTCAACTCCTCCCCAGCCCAGGAGTCCTACACGCCAGGACCCAGGGCAGAGCCTGCCTCCATACTCTCTGCCTCTAAAGAAAAGGCAGAGTCCAGGGAAAAGGATGAGAAGAAGGGGGTCCACTGGTAAAATCCGGAACCCTCGGCGGGAGGAGCAGGCTCAAATGCCTCCGTTGCCAACCCTGAAGAGGCAGTCCCCGAAGCCGCCCAAGTCTCACTACTATCTAAACCCCGCCCCGACTTCGAAACCCCTCACACATTTGGGAGCCGGGAGAAGAGGGAGGGGGAAGCAGGACGAACAACACTAACTGGAAAAGGACATGGGGGTACAGACAAAACCAAAGTCGAAGCGTACCAGCAATGATACCACTTTCTACCCAAGGCCAAACAGTGGCAACAAAAACCTCAGCTGGCCCCAAGGGTAAGTAATTGCTGAGCAGTCAAAGACCTCTATGGAAGCTGTTCCCGAATGCCCAGTGGAAGATAACCCCAATGCGCAAGAGCAGTACTTACAGAGCCCTTAGGGAAGGTGGCCCCTAAGCGCATGTAGCCCCAGTACTGATGAATTACACTTGGCCTGCACACTATACACAGCAGAATACACCACAAGGCACAGAACTGAGAGAGTCAGAGGCCAGAGGCGACGACCACTACAGTACACATCAGCCGAGGAACTGAATGCTGTAGCAGCCAGTGCGGGGAGGTCCGAGGTCCTCTACCCCTCCCAAGGGGTGGGGCTGCACGGATGATCAGCGTAGCGGCGTTAGTGACATTTGTTTGTTTGCTTGTTTTAGTGTGGGAATTCTGCCTCCCTCTCCGGTTTTAAGTAGCAATTTTCACCATGTGGGGTTTGTTTTGTTACAATCGATGGCAGACATGGAATGCTTCCAAACACATGGGGGTTTCCATTGGCCACAGCTCCTCATGCCTCTCTGAAGAGGGGCCAGGTTCTGGCTCATGGTCCCCGGTAGGCAAGAACTTCATCAACCGATGCCACTGTCTAATACATACATATCACCCCGGTAAGCTCCGGGAAACTGTAGGGGCTCCTCACAGGAAAGTCACTCAGTGACTTTTCACAAGTGAAAATAACTGTAAAAGTGAAAAATACCTGTGAATGCTATTAGTTACGCCTGTGGGAATAACTAATGTAATAATGCATCCTAAATGAATCGGCTGGATAGCTAGATCAGAAGTGTCAATTAATATACTGGAATTGACTGGCAAAAGGAAACTCACTTGTGATTTGTGAGGTGGCCTGAAAGGTTGCATCAATGTCTTCTGATGGTGGTGGCAGAGGTTCAGGAAACTCTTCATGACAGCCATTTGTATGAGGTGGTTGATCAGTAGTGGAACTCAAAGTCAGCTGCTCTAGTATCTCCTGTTCCTTAGCTTCAAATCTATGCAACTTTCCGGTCAATTCTGTATATTCCTAAAAAGATGAAATAATTCTTGAAATTCTCCAAATTCTAATACACTCACACACACAAAAAAAACAGCGTTGAATGTAATGAAACGCCATTTTCTGGGCGAGTCCTGAAGGCTCCCCGGAGCTATCCCAGGCTGATATGCTAATGTCAGACTTTGGCATCAGTCATGTGTATGGAGTTCTTAGGCCTACCAGGGACCACGGCCAGAACCTGGCCCCCTCAGAGAGGCAAGGGGAGCAATGGCCTATAAAAAAAAACGTGTGGTTGACAGCATTCTATGTCTGCCATCGACCGGATCAGACACCCAGAACGGTAAGCACCCCAAAACAAACCCCTATTCTGGTTAAAATTGCTACCAAAAGCTGAACTAGTGGATAGAACTCCCCAACAGAACATGAGCAAACTAGTATGACATCACACGTCGCCGCAGCACTGTCTGCACAGCTCCCCCCTCCCCGGGAGGAGGAAAGGGGAGCCCCAGACCCCTCACGCCAGCTACCCACACCTCAGTTCTGAGCCTGGATGTCAAAAACACGAAAAAAACACTGACTGGAGGGAGGGAGCGAGCGACGCAGGGGAGCCTCCGGAGCTAACTACCCACAGACAGAAAAAGAGGGACTTACCCGGGAGGTGGTCGTCACTCACTCCTTAACTCGAAGTCGAGACAACTGACTGCAACCGCCAACCCAAAGCAACACAGGCCCGACGGGGCACAGGGACATTCACGAGGTAATGAGCAGCCAAGACCCTGTTCGACCGCCAAAAACCCCACGCCTGAATATCAGACCAAGACATGTTCCCAAGGACAGCAGCAAGAGCTGCGAACTTACGGACGTCATGGGCACGGGCATAGACCGCAGGTTGGCTGAATTTGACAACCCCGCAGACGACCTGGGAGACCTGAACCCGCGAACAGGGAAGAAGGGAAACCAGATCAACCCAAAGCGCGTCCCCGGACACAGAAGCCGTTGCGCGCAAATAACGGCGAAGCGCCGCAACCAGACACAAAGTATGATGCACCCCCCGCCATACCAACCAAGCATCTACCACCCACGGACCCCTCCAGAACGCAGCAGTCTCATTCTTCGCCAGAAAAGAAGGAGATGGCTGCAGGAGAACAAAACGATCACCACGACTGAAAGAGCAGAAACCCCTGCGCCGGAGGAGAGCATGAAACTCCCCGACCCGACCCCCAGAGGCCAATGCCAACAGGAAAAGTCTGAGACAAACAATCCTGGACCGAAGGGGCCACGACGAAACGAGGATATGAGAGGTAAGCGAGCACTCTGTCCAAGGACCAGGATGGCTCAGGTGGCACATGAGCAGGCCGGAGGTGGTACAACCCACGAGACAGCTTGCGAAACAGCGCAGATGTAACATCGATAATGAAGGCAAGCTGAAGCGGCTCAGACAGCGCCACACGATATGAGGCGACAGTGTTAGGCATAAGATGACGGTCCTGAAACAACCAAGAGAGAAAGGACACCACCACCCTAACCGACAGCAAACCAAAACGACAAAGACGCAAAAAGAAACGGAAGGGCCACCAAGAAACTCCATACTGCCGCTGAGAAGAAGCCTGCAGGTGGGACACCAACACAGAAGCCACCTGATCAGCATAGAGATGATGACAGACTCGAGTAAAAAAAAAAAACGCGAAGAATCGAGAAGATCGAATCAGCCACGTGACGTACCGGACCAATCTGCTGATAGAGGTGGAGCTGCGGGAAAACCCTCTGGTTCGGACACCGAGCAAGCAGCGCCTGAAACCAAGGCTGGGCCGCCCACCAAGGGGCCAGAAGGACAACTCTCCCCTGATAAGTCTCCAAGCGAGTCAGGACTTAAAGCAACAGCTGAACCAGGGAAAAGAGGTACAGGAACCTCCAACTCGACCAGTCCAGCCGAAAGGCATCGACCCAGACGCCTCGCGACTAGGGAAGGGCGCCGCATACACGAGAAGGCGCCTCGACCACGCCGACGCGAAGAGGTCCACCTCGGGACGCCCAAATGTCTGGCAAAGGCAACGGAAGGAAGCGTCGTTCACCGTCCACTCTGTGGAGAGGGGAACGAAGCGAGACAGGCCATCGGCCAAGACGTTGGACACTCCCGTACATGAACCGCCAGGAGAGCCAAACCCCAAGAACTCAGCAGACAAGTCACCTGAAGCAACAAACCCCCAAAGAGCAAAGGACCACATCGAACCCCCGCAGTTCAGGCAATGAACCACCAGAGAGCAGTCCGAATGGAGCCGAATCATCGATCCATGGGTGACCCGAATCCTCCGAAGAACAGACCACACCGCCGCGAACTCCCGCACTGTGCTGTGGGCTCGACGGAAGAACGGACCCCTAACGCCCCTGGCCGGCCTGGTGAGCACTGGTCACAAAACCCCAGCCGAGAGACGAAGCGTCCGTGAACACACCAAGCGCGGGCTCAGGTAGGCGCCAAGGCACTGAACCCCGAAAAACCCGAGGAGGAAGCCGGAGATGCAAGGCCCCAGGAGGTTGAACCTAGCGATCGCAAGAGAGACGGAAGGGATGACCCCAAAGGAACCAGAACAGCCGACGAAGCCAAACCCAGCATGGTGGGTAGACCATCACCGCGAAGTTCAGGCTCCCGCACAGCCCCTCAAGCAACCGCCAGGTGACCCGGGAGCCCCCAGAAACAGGCGCATGCAGGACCACAGCCGCAGGAGAAACTCCAGGGGAAGAGACAAGGAATTGGTCCGAGAGTCCCACACAAGACCCAGCCATGTCCGAACCTGGGAGGGAACCAGATGGGACTTCCTCCAGTTCACCAAGAACCCGAATCCGGCGAGCTGGGAAAGAACCAATTCCATGACTATCAGACAAGAGGTCTGGCTGGGAGCCCAAACCAGCCAGTTTACCTTACCCTCAAGGTAAGGTAGTCGTCCAGGTATGCCAACACCCGAACACATAAGAGATGCAGCCGGGCCATAACGACCCACATAAGGCGTGTGAACACGCCAGATTCAACCTGAATGGGAGACAACGAAAACTGTAACCCCGATGCCCCACAACAAAACCGAGCCAGTCCCTGAACCCCGGATGAATCGGGACGTGCCAATATGCGTCCCGAAGGTCCAGGGAGACCGTCCAAAAGCCCAGCTCCAACAGGAGCCAAACCTACGACAGTGCAGTCATCCGGAAGGAGGGGCAATGAACCCAGGGGTTCAGACAGGACAAGTCCAGAATGAACCTCAGGTCTGCACAGTCTCGTTTCAACACCGGGAACAGACGGGAGACCCATCTGTGGGATGTCGTCATTTCGACCACACCCAAGTAAACCCACTCCAAGACGACTCGACGGAGCGCAGGGGAAGAGGCCTGCCCCTCGAGCCCCAAACCCTTCAAAGGAGGAGGGGCATCTCCGGGGCAGAGTTGACGACCAACCTAGATCGAATAGCTGAACTGAGTTGCTGAGTAGCCGGCGTGGAGAGTACGGGGCTCCCACCTACCCCTCCCAGAGAGGGTTGGGCTGCGTGACAGTGAGGTGTAACATTTGCCTGTTTGCATGTTTCCTGGGGATTTGAGGGAGTTCTGCCTCTGTTTGGTTTTCGGTTGCAATTTTTTTTACCATGTGGGGTCTGCTTCGTTATGCCTACCTTTCTGGCACCTAACTCCGGTCGATGGCAGATTAGGAAAAACCCCAACCACAAAGGGGGGGGGTTCCAGGGGCCATTGCTCCTGTACTTCTCTGAGGGGGCCAGGTTCTGGTTTGTGGTACCCAGTATGCTGAACTCCATTGACTAATGCCCTATTCTAATGTATCGCATATTAGCCTGATATCTCCAGGGAGCTGAAGGGGCTCCTAACAGAAAACCATTAAGTGTAATGAAACATCCTTTTCTAGTGGGTCCTCTGAAGCTGCTAGTAGTCTGCACTCTGGTCAAACCAAGCCCTGAGAATCCACAATTTTATGTTTCGTAAAGCGTTAAGCTGCTGTTAATAATTATAAATAAATAAAACGGTAAATGCTGTTCTGTAGAAGGCATTACAGTACAACCTCCATTCAACGTAGTATATGGGACCAACCCCAGTGTGTTGGAGCGTTGGATGCGTTGCAAGAGGTGACCTTCAAGAGGCGTTTGTGTCAGTCTCTCTTTTTCTTGTACACAATAAAAATGCATTATCATTTGTTATGTACCTTATTGTTGGAGTTATGTCCATCTTCAAGTCTCATGGAGTTGTGAATGCTGTACAGTAAATACGTACTGTAGTGTATTATACCGTTAACACTGTGTTGATTAGGTAGTTCTGCTGTATGTTGAGTACTACAATACAGTTTATGAAAACCATTGTACACTAAAATTATTGCAACTTTAATTTAACACTATGTATACACTTAAAACTCGTGCTGGGTACGGCTGTGCTCATGCTGGGTACGGCTGTTCTCTTGCTAGGTACTGTTGTTCTTGTGCTGGGTATGGCTGTTCTCATGCTTGGTACAGCTGTTCTTGTGTTGGGTACGGCTGTTCTCGTGCTGGGTACGGCTGTTCTCGTGCTGGGTACGGCTGTGCTCGTGCTGGTTGATTTTCTGCTACTAGTTCTTGCAAAATAATGCTTCACTTTTGGCATTAATAAGGCCCATTAGTAAGCCCCTGAGACATTTTGTTGTATATCAATACAGCTGTAGTAAAAAAATTTGTAAATTCCACGATTATTCTTCCACCAGTGGTTAAATACTGTACGTCAATCGCAGACAAAGCTAAGGGCACTGGGTGCATACTGTACGAACGCAGACTAGGTCTATACGTACACCCTACAGTATGCTGGTGTTTAAGCCAGATCCAGTAACATAAATTTCTCTCAAATATTGGATTTACATCAAATTATATATTTTTGGGTTATATATTTAGTTTAGCAACATTATTATGATAATAAGAGCTATAAAAAATACTTATTTTAGAACTGATTTATTAATTTCATTATTTCGAAGCTGTAAGTCACTGAACTATGGCAACGAAATCGAACAAAACAAGCATGGTGTTGTGTGCACATGGATTAGACCTGTCCACTCGCGCTGGAATTGTGAGCCGCCAATAACATGAATATTTCTCATATAGCAGATATCTGTCATATTACAGTATATTTTTGGTTTTATTTAGTTTAGCTTAATTAGGATAATTAAGAGTTATTAAAACACCAGTTTTAGAAATGATATATTAATCTGAAATGTTCAAAGTCATGGGTCACTGAACTATGACGACACAGACAAAAGCGAGTGAAACCTTACTGTAAAGAGAGGTTTACTGTACAGTATTCCCTTATCTGTCCACCCTCACTCATCTTGTTTCATCACAGAAAATGTATATAGAAGATTTGAACACATTAGTTAGTTATTCACGCTTCAGCCTCTAAATTAGTTTACAAAGATACTGTACATGTGCCACAAATCAGTGAACGAAAATCATTGAAACTCAGTCGTTCACTTGTGTAGACCACTGGCTGGAATTTGGTTAATATGCTTCACTTGTTGTGTCGACCATTCTGGCTGGTGTTTGGTTCATATGGTTCACTTGTTGAGTGGTCCACTTGTGTGATCCAATTTGTCTTATGAAGGAATTATTAATTGTAATCTGTGATAGAATGAGACAGTTTTCCACCACTCTGTGAACTCTGTCCCAACATCGTAAGCTTGTGGACCACTTGTGGACCACTTGTTATCTTGAGGTTATCTTGAGATGATTTCGGGGCTTTTTAGTGTCCCCGCGGCCCGGTCCTCGACTAGGCCTCCACCCCCAGGAAGCAGCCCGTGACAGCTGACTAACTCCCAGGTACCTATTTACTGCTAGGTAACAGGGGCATTCAGGGTGAAAGAAACTTTGCCCATTTGCTTCTGCCTCGTGCGGGAATCGAACCCGCGCCACAGAATTACGAATCCTGCGCGCTATCCACCAGGCTACGAGGCCCCCAGGGTTGTGCGGTACACTTGTGTAGTCCACTTGTGTGACCAAACTTGTCACATGAGCGAATTATTAATTGCAATCTGTGATAGAATGGGAAAGTTTTCCACCAGTCTGTGAACTCTGTCTCGACATCGTGAGCAAATCCGAACATCCCCCGCTTCGGCGAACCATTGTTCGTCGAACTGGGTGAGTAAATCCGGCCTGAAAAGTGTGCGAACTAGCCGGAGATTCATTGAATCAGGATACGTTGAATCGAGGTTGTACTGTACCTATTAATATATGTCTAAATAAAAATTAAATCAGCCTAATTCGTTGGTAAAGTAAGGAAACAGTTGCACATGCAATATTACCGTGAGATATAAGGAAGGAGGATGCTGGAAGCCAGCAAATCGAGAGTTGAGGTCATCAATGTATTCCTTAGTCAGGTGGATGATGTTTTGAATATTTTGTAACTGCAAGAAAAGATAAAATCATTAAGGTTGAAATGTCTACATCAAGTTCAAATTTCATGGTTTCCCTATATCAGTAACAGGAAGCCTCTTAAGATTATCGAGGTCCTCTTAGCTGTATGAAGGATGCAGCCCACAACAGTCACCAAACTCATGGACTTGTTTACTTCTAGAGGGACTGAGCCATCAGGTGTAAGGAAACATGCCCAAATGTCTTGCCCAGCCCACGAATTGAATAATGATTCAATCAGTTTTATGATTATGTGAGTGTTTATTTATTCCAGATGTGGCACCCTGGTTTTCATGATGCTTCCACCTTGGGTTAAACTCTGGTTATAAAATGAACATTTGATATTTGCCCATTTGTTATTACCAGGCTACAAGTTTCACATGACACAAAATTGTTTCTGAAATTACATTACTGTATCTTTAAATAGGCTTTTTAAGTTTTTAAAAAAAAATTCCATTAATTTGTCATAGCATTATTTGCTGAGGAACTTATTGCACCACATGTTTATTTTGATATCTCAAATTTATAAAGCATTTATGGCACAAGTGGCTAGCTGCCCCTGCATCTTATAAGAATGGAATATATATCTCATAAAACATTTGCTGCATCCTTACATGCATTTGGAGGAGGAGTCATCAGGGGGTGTTGGGATATTATTATAGATTCAGCTACCCGGAACAAAAAGTTCCAAGTAGCACTGGCTATGGTGAGCCCGTAGTGGACTTACCTGGCACAGCGAGCAGGGTGGGGATGGAAATGATGCTATTTTATTGATTGATTGATTGATTGATTGATCAAGATTAAGCTACCCAAAAAGGTGGCACAGGCATAAATAGCTCATAAGTGGTTGATTTTTTTGGAGTGAATGTGATCTTTGGTCGTGAAAGGACATGCTGCATGCTGTGCTCGCATTTAAATCGTCAGTCCTTACTATGTGGCTGTTACCGCGGGGGAGGATACTGCTTGACAGTATTTATGACGGTGTCCAGCTACTGGACACTTTTCATTACTGGAAGAGTGGCAATGTTGATGGCTTGATACCTGCTTGATACCTGCTTGATGGGGTTCTGGGAGTTCTTCTACTCCCCAAGCCCGGTCCAAGGCCAGGCTTGACTTGTGAGAGTTTGGTCCACCAGGCTGTTGCTTGGAGCGGCCCGCAGGCCCAAATACTCTCCACTGCCCGGCTGATCCGGAACTTCTCTTAGAAAACAGTTCAGCTCTCTCTTGAAGATGTCCACGATTGTTCTGACTTCAGGGTGGTTACTGCAACATTCAAGGACTCTTAAAGCTCTTCTAAGAACCTTGGCTGCTTCACATTCCAGGAGATAGTGAAGTACTGTAGTGGCTTTTCTGTGATTGTTTGGCAGAAGATGCATTACCACTCTCTGGGTTCAATAATTTCAGAGTTGTATCTGTAACCTAGACGAAGTCTATATAACCTAACTGCTATTTCCCTGTGGATTCCTTTTGGAATATTTAACCTGTCTAACTTAGTGGAGTGAAGATACCATATTGTAGAGGTATCAATATGGTATCACCCGGGATACCATATTGATACCATAGGTGAAACCTTCACCTACTCTCTGGTGTAGATGGGCTTTGTTGAGGTGTGCGAGCTTTTTGGTGATAGTGTTTTTATGTACTCTATCTAGGCTGGGTTGGATTCTTTTGTGGATCACTGGATGACGAGTTGCCAATTTAGTAGTTTCATCGCCTTTCTCATTTAATGGGATTCCAACATGGGATGGGATCCAGTTTGGAGTTATGTTGAGTCCTTTGCCTTTAGCGACTGCTCCAAGATACAAAATGGTGGTAATTATTTCCACGTTGTCTTAACACTGCTTTTTTCCTAATATTTGAAGTGCAGCCTTTGAGTCTGTGTACATGATTGCATTTTGAGTGTTATGTGCAATCACATATGCACATAACATATGCCTGTTGTATGGCAAACAGCTCAGTTTGGGTTGATGATACTGGTCCTCGTCTCCAATATGCCTGTTCGCTGTCCGTGTAAAGAGCAGCGCCAGCACTCATATTCTGTGTCCTCCGATCCGTCTGTGAAGATGTGGGTGGCTCCTGCTACTGCTATGCTGTTCTTTTGCTTTTCTATTATGCGACTTAGGAGATTGTTGGATCAAAGGCAGCCATTTTCATCACAAGACCTTCTATTACTATTTTGAAGGTAGGATCTTCCCCCGGTGGGGAAAAAGTGTAGTTTGGGTGTGGTTGATCACTTCCTCTGTCCAGAATCATGCTTTTTAATTATAGTCTGTATAGGATGTCTTCCGGTCTGGTAGCCCAAGTGTTTCCGTTGTTTTGGCCAAGTCCAACCACCAACGCCTGTCGTATTGGGACTGCATCAGGGGAAAATTATTTTACTGATAATCGTAGCTGTTCTTTGAGTTATTCTTTCTTGAAGAGGGCAAACCTGTTTCCAGTCTAGGAGTTTCAAGCCTGGTCCACATAGGAGCTCACAGAGCAGCTCTCATAGCATTAGTTTGGGCTTCTTCAAGCTTTTTCCACTATTGTTGTGATAGGTTTGTGAGTACAGGTGCTGCAGTGTCAATCACTGACCTGACTGCCTGTACATAATGTGTGTGAAGGACTTGCAGATTGGCTCATCCAGAGAGGGAGGTTAGCGAAATGAGGATTGCCGTCTGGGCCGCAGATCTCTCTCACAAGTAACACTTTCGCTCGGCGACTACTCAGCATTATGTCATCCGTTTAGTAGACGGACTTCCGGTGACGCCGCAATGCTGCGTCGTCTGTTAAAAACTGTGCCCAACATTCGCACTTGGCTGTGGGAGGGGCACGCCGCAGTTTTGGACCTTATATGCCATATATATAAAGTTGAAAAGCGTATACACATTTTATTGTGCTTGATTAGCGCTCACGAGGGTAACGCGATGTCACTTTCTTTGTTTGCTGTGGGTGGTACGCCGGGCTTTTGGAGTGTATATGCATTTAGTCCTGTAGAGAATTCAATTGCAAACACATTGATACCAAAATGAAAGACCCATGATGAGAATTGAGGTGACCAAAGTGAAGGGAGTGTAGATAATATGTATACAGTAAAATGTTCATTGTTCCATGGAACTGTGATACATTGCTCTAGCGCGCTCCCAGGTAACTCGCTCTCACGAGTACTTCGGAAGTGAGTAGTAATCAACGAAGTAGTCCATGGTACACAGTGCGACTTCGCTCTCGGTGTACCAGGTACAGATAAATTTTTGCTTTCTGTTTCTTCATTCTGTGTGCTTGCAAATAATGCACTCCTGTACACCCTTGGCTTTAGTACTTGTAGGTTGTATGTAGCCAAGCTTGTAAAGCATAAGGTAGTATTGAAAAGATTATTGGAAAAGATCAATTTGTAAGGTAGTCTTGAAAAGATCGCTTTGTATAGTCCCACACAGTAAGAGGTTCAGCTTGCCTCAAAGAGTGTCTGTCAGTTAGGAACAGATTCAGGTATTCTTGAAAATATCTATGGAAAACACCACCATGGAAGCTGCTAACACTGCTCATCAGCAGTGTTAGCAGCCGCTAACACTGCTATTTGTATCAGATGCATCATCACAGAACGCAGAAAAAGATTCATCTATGTATCATCTAAATAAATTGGAGATAGCATAGGATTTCAAGGGTGATGCTCAGAGCTACAACTGGATATGCTTGCTGTATCGTCCTCATAGGCGCTGTATCACTTGCATCTGACCTTTGTGTTAGGTCCTTATTGTGCCTAGTTTCACCAATATTATGACCCTTATGTTCTTCAAACAATAAGGTTTGAATTTCACAGACAGAGCGTTATCTTTCAACACCGCGTCGGACAGGTGTTTGGGAGCCAGAGGCGCGTGCACCACCCATGGTTGCTCATTCAGTACTAACCCAGCCAGCAGCCCTAGGGCATTCTGAGAATTTTTTCCAAGATGGCTGCCTCTCACTGGAGGTCCTATGAGTCCATTTCGTACACAACCAACCTCGTACACATTTATAATTGGTACCGAAAAAAAAAAAAAGAGTTTTCTTGGTTGGCGCAGTTTCCCGCCGACCGAGAATACTCGATTGGTGCAGTTAAGTGCTTAAAGAAATCAGACCAGCAGACATGACTACTGGCTACGGGGGCGTATTACGCGATTTGGAAATGTTGTTTAACCAAACTGTTTTACTAGTTGTATATAAGAAGAGCTGCAGCTTTTCTATGTTTCAGTATCTCACCCTAAACAGAAAGGGAGGGATGTTTTTGTTGCTGTTTTTCCAACGAATTTTACACATTTTCAATAATTAACTACAACGACAAGTTTCAAATGACATCATTTCTATGACACTCATATATCATATTAGCATATAATAAAGGATTTTTATAAAAAGAATTATCCAAAATATGTTTAGTTTTACTAATACTACAAGTAGTCAAAGTGCCCCAAAAATGCATGCCAATATTTCATGTTTGCAAATATTTATAAAATCAATAAATGAACTTAGGAATAAAGCGTTTTATAAATGTTGCATATAACATTACATATAAGGTATAAATTTCATGTAAATTAAAAAAAAAATGAAAGAGACGAGATTTTATGTTACTTGAAAATAAATATGATCAAACACTGCCACCTGTGGTTGAAATTGACTTCAACCAATTTCCTCCAAAATTTGCTTCTTTACAGAGAGGCATACGTTCTGTAAGGTGGCCATGTTTCATGCAAATCGGCTGATAAAAAATATGAAAAAACAAAAATTTAGAAAACTAATTTTTTTTTTTTTACCAGACCAGCAGACATGACCACTGGTTAAAGATACCAGAGCAGTAGACATGACCACTGGTTAAAGATACCAGAGCAGTAGACATGACCACTGGTTAAAGATACCAGAGCAGTAGACATGACCACTGGTTAAAGATACCAGAGCAGTAGACATGACCACTGGTTAAAGATACCAGAGCAGTAGACATGACCACTGGTTAAAGATACCAGAGCAGTAGACATGACTACTGGTTAAAAGATACCAGAGCAGTAGACATGACCACTGGTTAAAGATACCAGAGCAGAAGACATGACCACTGGTTAAAAGATACCAGAGCAGAAGACATGACCACTGGTTAAAAGATACCAGAGCAGAAGACATGACCACTGGTTAAAGATACCAGAGAAGTAGACATGACCACTGGTTAAAGATACCTGAGCAGAAGACATGACCACTGGTTAAAGATACCAGAGAAGTAGACATGACCACTGGTTAAAGATACCTGAGCAGAAGACATGACCACTGGTTAAAGATACCAGAGCAGTAGACATGACCACTGGTTAAAGATACCAGAGCAGTAGATATGACCACTGGTTAAAGATACCAGAGCAGTAGACATGACCACTGGTTAAAGATACCAGAGCAGTAGACATGACCACTGGTTAAAGATACCAGAGCAGAAGACATGACCACTGGTTAAAGATACCAGAGAAGTAGACATGACCACTGGTTAAAGATACCTGAGCAGAAGACATGACCACTGGTTAAAGATACCAGAGAAGTAGACATGACCACTGGTTAAAGATACCAGAGCAGTAGACATGACTACTGGTTAAAGATACCTGAGCAGTAGACATGACCACTGGTTAAAGATACCAGAGCAGTAGACATGACCACTGGTTAAAGATACCTGAGCAGTAGACATGACCACTGGTTAAAAGATACCAGAGCAGAAGACATGACCACTGGTTAAAGATACCAGAGCAGAAGACATGACCACTGGTTAAAAGATACCAGAGCAGAAGACATGACCACTGGTTAAAAGATACCAGAGCAGAAGACATGACCACTGGTTAAAGATACCAGAGAAGTAGACATGACCACTGGTTAAAGATACCAGAGCAGAAGACATGACCACTGGTTAAAGATACCAGAGAAGTAGACATGACCACTGGTTAAAGATACCAGAGCAGTAGACATGACTACTGGTTAAAAGATACCTGAGCAGTAGACATGACCACTGGTTAAAGATACCTGAGCAGTAGACATGACCACTGGTTAAAGATACCAGAGCAGTAGACATGACCACTGGTTAAAGATACCTGAGCAGTAGACATGACCACTGGTTAAAGATACCTGAGCAGAAGACATGACCACTGGTTAAAAGATACCAGAGCAGTAGACATGACCACTGGTTAAAAGATACCAGAGCAGTAGACATGACCACTGGTTAAAAGATACCAGAGCAGAAGACATGACCACTGGTTAAAGATACCAGAGCAGAAGACATGACCACTGGTTAAAGATACCAGAGAAGTAGACATGACCACTGGTTAAAGATACCAGAGCAGTAGACATGACCACTGGTTAAAGATACCAGAGCAGTAGACATGACCACTGGTTAAAGATACCAGAGCAGTAGACATGACCACTGGTTAAAGATACCAGAGCAGTAGACATATCACAGGTTAGATACAAGAGCATCAGATACAACCACTTGTCAAGGATGTCAGATTAGCACTCATGACTAATGGCTACATATTCAAGAGTAGCAATAAAAGGCAATTATGATGGAAAAGGCATTAAGCTAGCATGATAATACAGAACTTAGTCAAGAGTAACAGGTGGCCGTGCAGAGATCCTTTACTGCTAGAATCCACTCAGTAAAGCATCTAAACTATTGGGACCGACTAAAGAGCCTAAATCTGTATTCTCTTGAGCGCAGGCGGGAGAGATACATAATAATTTACATGTGGGAAAATAATAGAGGGGCTGGTCCCAAACCTGCACACAGAAATAACATCACATGAGACCAGAAAGCATGGCAGGATGTGCAGAATACCCCCATTGAAAAGCAGAGGTGCAACAGGTACTCTGAGGGAGAACTCTATCAACATCAGAGGCCCAAGACTGTTCAATACGCTTCCACTTCACATAAGGGGCATAACTGACCGATTCCTCAGTGTTCAAGAGAGAGAGAACTTGACAAACACCTCCAAAGGATACCTGATCAACCAGGCTGTGACTCATACGTCAGGCTGCGAGCAGCCGCGTCCAACAGCCTGGTTGACCAGTCCAGCAACCAGGAGGCCTGGTCGATGACTGGGCCACGGGGTCACTAAGCCCCGGAATCACCTCAAGGTAACCTCAAGGTAGGCCTAGACCCCTCCCCCTCCTCCCCCCCTCAGATCCACGCACCCTAGAGCCACAGGTGGAACTACGCGTACTGGCCACACACCCCAGAGCCACAGGTGGAACTACGTGTACTGGCCACACACCCCAGAGCCATGGGTGGAACTACGCGTACTGGCCACACACCCCAGAGCCACAGGTGGAACTACGCGTACTGGCCACACACCCCAGAGCCATGGGTGGAACTACATGTACTGGCCACAAATCCACAGGTAGAAGTACGTGTACTGACTACAGACCACCCAAGAGTCACAGGCAAGACCACTGGCCACACACCCCAGAGCCACAGGAGAGACCACTGACCAGAGACCTGAGCCACAGGATAGACCACTGGCCAGAGACCCGAGCCACAGGAGAGACCACTGGCCAGAGACCCGAGCCACAGGATAGACCACTGGCCACACAACCCAGAGCCACAGGATAGACCACTGGCCAGAGACCCGAGCCACAGAATAGACCACTGGCCACACAACCCAGAGCCACAGGATAGACCACTGGCCACACAACCCAGAGCCACAGGATAGACCACTGGCCACACAACCCAGAGCCACAGGATAGACCACTGGCCACACAACCCAGAGCCACAGGATAGACCAGAGACCCGAGCCACAGGATAGACCACTGGCCAGAGACCCGAGCCACAGGAGAGACCACTGGCCAGAGACCCGAGCCACAGGAGAGACCACTGGCCAGAGACCCGAGCCAAAGGAGAGACCACTGGCCAGAGACCTGAGCCACAGGAGACCACTGGCCAGAGACCCGAGCCACAGGAGAGACCACTGGCCACAGACCTGAGCCACAGGAGAGACCACTGGCCAGAGACCTGAGCCACAGGAGAGACCACTGGCCAGAGACCTGAGCCACAGGAGAGACCACTGGCCAGAGACCTGAGCCACAGGAGAGACCACTGGCCAGAGACGGCAGAGCAGCAGACTGGTACCTGCCTGAAGGGCCAGAGTAAGTGCCAAGCCGAGGCCAACACCCCAAACCTTGCCTTACCTCAAGAGCCGCCATTCTCACTCACCTCACCGTCTTCTCCCCTGCCCCCGGCGCCCTACGCGCCTCCCCCACTCTACCAGTGCCACAACAAGGTGCCATCTCTGGGGGCGCCGCTGGGGTACTAAATACGAGTGTGCAGGACCCGAATGTCAACAAAGCCTCAGAAACCACCAATCATAACAACGTCAATTGTTCGAATATTATGACTGCTAGTCAAATTTCCTTTGGACAAAAGATAGACTAGACTTGCCTCTTCCTCCAAGGCAGCCCTGTCTTTGATCTCATCGGGATTATCTGGGGTGTCGACAGGTGAGGGTGAACTGCTATCCCGTTCCCGAACATCCCCAACACCCGCCATCTTGCACCTGTTTATTTTATCAGCCACCAAATTTAAGGCACTCTCAATTTGGCTCTCACTGCCTAGGGTAACCACAACCTTTTAAACAACCAAGTTCAACATTTCATCGATCAATCATATCATCGTCGTGGTTAAACGTGACTCTTTTTTAAATGTGAAAATGATACTCTGAACGCTAAAATAAAACCAGTTAAACTTATTGATAGCGGTATAGACGCAGGAACCCGCCCGTCTAGGTTGACAATTTTTTAGATAAATTCGAATTCTCTTACGAAGACATTCCGAGGCCACGACGTCTATAGTCTGCCCTTAGCGGCTCGTAATGCAAAGGTCATCAATCATTGTAGTAATTGTTACTTACATAAAACTCTCCACATATGTCACTTGCTTAATTTGGAAACTGTACTTGTGGTCGATCTCGAACCCATTGTTGATGTGACGACTTATACTGAATTTTGTAACTAGATCATCAAGATTGTAACTTGCTTAGCTAAATGAATTGTGGGGTTCAGTCCCTGAACAGTCCCTAAAGTCTATTCTTTCTTGGCCCTGACTTCCCCACTTCTTTCACACATACAGGTTCTGGCAGGCCTGATCTCATATTCACTAACAGACATGGCAGCAACTTGCAACACTTCATTTCACCAGGGCCCATTACGGGCTCTGATCATATTCCCTTAATTCTCAGTCTCCATAAATCCTATTCTCATCCCCAGTACTCCTCAATTCTCATACCTTAGGGCAAACTGGGACATGTTCAAACAACACAGTTGTTTGTTTAGCAGTCTCCGTGGTGTAGTGGTAAGACACTCGCCTGGCGTTCCGCGAGCGCTATGTCATGGGTTAGTATCCTGGCCGGGGAGGATTTACTGGGCGCAATTCCTTAACTGTAGCCTCTGTTTAACGCAACAGTAAAATGTGTACTTGGATGAAAAAACGATTCTTCGCGGCAGGGGATCGTATTCCAGGGACCATAGGATTAAGGACTTGCCCGAAACGCTACGCGTACTAGTGGCTGTACAAGAATGTAACAACTCTTGTATATATCTAAAAAAAAAAAAAAAAAAAAAACACATTGATGACACTGATCTCACTTATGAATACAATGACAAACATCACTCTGACATCGACACACAAGCACGCAACATACAAGATACCATCATTCATGCAGCAAACATCTCCATTCCTAAAACAACACACAAACCACATTTCACTTTCACCCCCCTCCATTCGCTCAAAACGCCTCTTAGCGTGCTATCACACTAGATTCTTACAAAACATGCATCGTCATGGACAAATACTATGGGACCTAACAGCATTAAAAAAACCACATCCTTAACAGCCTAGATGAAGATCACACAAAACATTGGAAACACCTCATAGAACAAGCAGAACAACACAGAAAACTGACACCTCTAGAATTCTGGAAACAAATCAAACGCTTACAAGGATCAACTCACACCGTTTAAATACCTTCTTCATAATAACAACAAAGTCACTGATCCTGATGTAGTACTCAACATTTTTAAACACCACTGGGAACAAATCTTTCACCCACATCCTCCTGAACCATTTGCCCGCCATAACACCGAAGCAATCGAAGACTGGATACACCAAAATAGACACGCAACTACACCAGACGACCTCATCCACCTTGACAATCTCAATACAAACACTGAACTACAGACTCCCCTAACTCTAGCTGATGTCAAGACAGCTCTCATGGGCACTCGTCGTAGAGCCCCTGGTGCGTCTGGCATTGGACATATCCATCTTAGACAACTCCCTGCTTCTATCATTACTGCTATCACTAACCTATTCAACGCCTCCCTTGCCTCTGGATACTTCCCTCTCAACTTTAAGTCTGCCACAGCCGTTCTTATTCCAAAACCTGGGAAACCCCACACTGACCCAAAGAACTACAGACCCATCAGCCTTCTAGAGACACTTGGCAAAGTCTTTGAAAGGCTGATCAACCAGAGACTTAGAACCCACCTAGAACACAGTGACTTACTCACTAACAAACAGTTTGGATTTCGGCCTCACCGGTCCACTCACGACACCTTAAACATCATGATCAACTACCTCAGTATCAATCAGCACCAAAGACTTAAGACTGCACTCATCACTAAGGACGTTGAGAAGGCCTTTGACACTGTTTGGCATGACGGCCTAAAATTCAAACTATGCAACAACTTTAATCTTCCTCTTATCACCACCAAACTTCTCTCTAACTACTTAGACAATAGGACAATGAGAATTAAGTTCCTCCGACAGCACTCTGACTACTTCAACTTACATGCCGGCGTTCCCCAAGGCTCTGTTCTTGCCCCAACACTCTACATCCTATACATCAACGACATTCCTGATCCTGTTCATCACACTTCATTAACCATATGCTATGCCGATGATGTCTCTCACCTTGTCACCAGCAACACCATTGATACACTAACAAACAGAGCACAAACAGAACTTGATGTTGTCACTGAATGGGAGTATAAATGGCGTATCAAAACCAACTCCACCAAATCCCAAATCACCTACTTTTTTTGTAAAAGAACTATTCGCCCTATTCCTCTTAAGCTCTATTCATACACTCCAAATCCTACTTATATCTCTGTGTCTCCCTCCTCCACAGTCCTTGGACTCACATTTGATCGACAATTACTCTTTCACACACACATTACACAGAAACATGCAATAGCTCTTCTAGCCATGGAAAAACTGTACAGACTTTGATTTGCAAAACCTGACACAAAAATGCACCTTTACAAAGCACTTATTAGGCCTCTCCTAACATATGCTCCACTAGCTCTTTCTTTATCTGCAACTACTAACAAACTAAAGCTTCAAAGAATACAGAATAGAGCACTAAGATGAGTACTCAACACCCGATTGCAAGAGTTTATTACCAGTCAAAGTCTCCATGAAAGTACGAACATTCCTGCCCTAAATGTCTACTGGAAAACTTTATCAGACAGACAAATTGATAGACTACTCACTTATCATGAACAACACATTGATTTTCTCCTACACACTCTCAGACGACCACGACACACTCATGACCTCTTCTCTACCATCCATGATCCTCCTCCTAACTCTGTATTTCGATAAACTTTAGCTCTCAACACCCAGCATCCACCATCATTACATATTCAGCTCTCAACAACCAGCACAAACCATCCGTAAAAGTTCAGCCCTGACGCTCTTGAGCCAATCACTGCGATGTTGTGAGTTTTGTGATGTCCCTGTTGTTGTCGCTGAAACACCCGACGAGTCCCTGCCTCGAATGCCGCAACCAAACGACACGCAGCTGGGTTTAGCCCTGGCACTTTTTCTCCTACAATTCTTCCTCCTCTCACCCACCCCCCTTATCTTCTTCTGTCCCCACTTCAAGGCTCGCCCCACAGGCATCTTTTCCTGTATTTTCAGATTCAGAGTACCTGAGCCCATTATGTGCCTCTGTAACCCTTTCCACTACCGCCCACAAGATGGGTATAGGGTGCATAATATATGAACTAAACTAAACATAAAACATATACATTTAAAAAACGACGCAGTCATTTACTTATACGTACACAATGTAAATTATATAAAACCACTAATACGCGGGGTTTAGGGCTGATTACAACGTACTGTATATGTAGTCAATATTATATGTTATGGTAAAGTTTCGGCCGAACCTGAAGATATAGGAGTGGTCATATAGCTATTATATATTATAGGTTACGCTTAATACTCAGGTAAAAGTTAATATACAGTACATGTAAAAGTTGAAAACAATTAAAAAAAATCTAGGGGAAGAGAAGTCTATTTTTATGGTCCACAATAACCTATATCGTTCTATCGGAACGTTCTGTTGTCAACATGTGAGGTTGACAATAAACTAACGATCATAGAGAATGGGGTGCACAATTTTCTATTTTTCAGAGATATTCCTGCGCGGGCCCTAAGCCTCTGGCTGGCCCACTAAGTGTTGCTTCTTTCTGTTTTACTTGGGCGGAGTATGAATATTTATGACTCGTATGGTCGCTTCAGTAAGATTCTGTTCCACGTGTTTAACAATTTTTTCTGCTCTGTTGAATCTAAGTTGATGTCTTAATGGATTTGTAACTGTGCACTGTGTTAGATAATGTTCCAGTGGTCTGTCTGGCATTTCTCCACAGTGTTGACATTTCCTCTCATCTTCTCATTATCTGCTGATGTAGACCTGACCAAATGTAAACTGTGTCAACAAAATTATTCGCACACCCTCCGTCACTATGTGATGGAGTGCGAAAAGATACATGAATTTAGAGACAATTCTATAAAAAAAAAAAAAAATGTTCAAGCGATGTGTAAATATTTCATTCAAAATGATCTGCTACCAGAAATTTTATCCAAATATCCCCAGTTTGCTAACTGTAGGTAGTAACTAAGTGATTGTAACCTATCCACCGCTGCCCACTGGATGGGGGGCGGTGTGCAGGACAAACATATCAATTTTGACACTAGCTCTCCACATATGTCAGTTGCTTAATTTAGAACCTGTACTTGAGGTCGATCTCGAACCCATTGTTGATGTGATGACTTATATTGAATTTTGTAACTAGCTCATCAAGATTGTAACTTGCTTAGCTAAATGAATTGTGGGGTTCAGTCCCTGAGCCCATTATGTGCCTCTGTAACCCTTTCCACTACCGCCCACAAGATGGGTATGGGGTGCATAATAAATGAACTAAACTAAACTAAACTTCCGGAAATGTGTACAAGGCTCAAAACTTGATACATTAATTGTAAGTGACTCCTTAATTAATTATCATCCTTAATAGCTCTCAACTCTTTAAGACATAACTGTAACATGCTCGTGTCCGAAGCTAGACAACAAAATTATTAAGGATAGTAACAGAGTACATTTCATGTACTCACCTAATTGTGCTTGCGGGGGTTGAGCTTTGTCTCTTTGGTCCCGCCTCTCAACTGTCAATCAACTGGTGTACAGGTTCCTGAGCCTACTGGGCTCTATCATATCTACATTTGAAACTGTGTATGGAGTCA